AAAGAAAGAAAGAAAGATAGATAGATAATTCCAATGTTATGCGAGCCCGCCGATAATACATTACACCACACGAGTATAGTGATATGGCCAGAGGGCTTGTCATAGTTCGATATGCTCTGTTGGCAAACAGTACGACTTCGTTTACGCAAAGGTACCGGCAGAGGAAGTATCGGAGGAGAAGCAAGAGTAGATACGACGAACCTTAGCAATATCAATAAGCCACTGTGACAAGGCGCCATGTTAGCTATTATACATGTCAGTCAATAAAAGCGATATCTGTGTTATAAAGATTATAAGCGAAATGTATGATTAGTCACCTTAGCAGACGACGGGTTGGCTGGTGCAGAAAGTAATAGTAATATATCTTTGTCAACAAAAGATGAGACATTTCACCAAAAAAACAACGCAACATGCTCTTTATACACTGTTCTAGGTCGGACGTGATTTTTTTTGCATGTATATATTAATGGATAAATTGACATGTTAGTGGGTATGATTTACTGCAAGTTGAAAATAAAATTATTTTAAATACGCCGTTTGTGCCTTACGTGATCTGACTTCTTCACAATGCAACGAAAAAGTCATCACAAGCACTGCATATGTGTCATCAGTCTCTTGTCTTTACCATGCTGAGTACTAATTAAGTGCCGACATATGCTCATAGTTACTGTTTACGGTTGCAAAAAAAAACTGTTGCTGTGTTTTACAGTATGGTTCAAATATAATGTTTTGAAGAATTGCCTGCGAGCTGCATCCATCTTGTACAGTGCGTTTTTTTATATACCAATGTCACACTATACAAACAATCACAACACAACACAACACAACAAAATCACGACACAACAAACCAGAACAAAACGGACCAGAACACAACAATCATTTTTGATAAAAATTAAAAATGAGAAAATTGTTTAAATTGTATGATTAATTGTTCATACGGCAGCATACCTTATAACGCTTACAAATTACGAAAGCAGGCATAATTACTGGTGGAAAGTATGAATTATACTTGGACGGGGATAAGCAGAAGGATGATTTACAGGGCATATATTGAATATGCGATCGCGTAGTAATAAATACTATAGCCATATCCAACTATATGTTCGTTCTAATGTAATAGTACTGCGCATGTTCCAAATCGTCAATACAAATTAAGCGCGGAAGGATATATATCAATTATCAAGAGCTCATCATAGAGATTATGAGCTCTCTAATATGAGCTATTGATATATATGTTTAAACAGTTTTACTCTAATAAATCAATCTGGCTTGTGGATCATCTGCTGTAGACGGTGAATTTCATGTTTCATAACGTTTTCCGCTTGCATATATATATATATAAATTGTAGTCTGTAGATAAATTAAAAACAATACATCACTTTTAGCTGTTATTCCGAGTTTCACGCTTACGCAATCATCAGACAGACTTTAATAAAGAATAATCGTTTTATTCTTTATTAAAGTCTGTATGATGATCGAGTAAGCGTGAAACCCGGAGTAACAGCTAAAAGTGATGTCTTGTCTTTAATTTATTTACAGACTACAATTTATTACGCTGTGCAACTTAATGCATCGAGCACTATACCGACAGTATATACTCAAGCATCCAGACTTACGTTGTTTTGAGCGTGTGGTGATATATGTATTATACTACCGCCTTTACGGATGTAGGCCTACTTAAAAGTAGGTTTATACATGCAGTCCACAGTAGTTATAATTGAGTGTATTGCAACATAGCTATATACGTACGTTACATATTTCATACCTATACGCCGCGTGCGTATAGTATCACTGTCCACGCGCGTGGAGCCTGGTCGGGCCCGAACCAAATCCGCTATTTTAAGACCATATAATGTCTATATCAATGCTACACTCCCCCTCTCTTATAGTTAGATAAAGGCTCTATAGTTATAGGAAGGGTATTATATTGTATTATAGGGGGTTATATATAT